AGTAAGCAGTTTCCGAGAGGCACAAGAGAGGCAAAGATGGGTGAGAAGGATGTTCAGTGAGTTGGAAGCTCCAAAAGACAACCAATGTACCTATAAGACAGAGAGTTGGAGGAGCACAGTGGAGGAGAAGGGGAGGTAGGCAGGATCTTATAGGCCATTTTAAACGTTTGGACCTTCAACCCAGGGACAGTGGAAAGCCATTGAGAAGTCGTAAGCTAAAACACGATAAAGTTTGGGTGTATGGAGAATAGAGTGGAGGAGATACGAGTGGATCTAGGTATAGAGTTAAAGTTGTTTAGCCTTTTAATGGTAGAAAACCTAATCCAGGGGCTTCCACATCTGGCTATGTGTCAGAATCATCTCGGGAGCCATTTCAGAACACACATTTCTCAGCCTCATTCCAGATCCACAGCTTCAGTCTATAAAAATGGCTTCTTGGTGGCATCCTATGGGACAAAGTATGTAACTCATAAAGGTAACACAGACCAAATCCTGCTCTTTGAACATGCCCACCAATACTAGTTATGTTTTTAAAAGGACACTTGACACTTTGTCCATAGCACACACCCCCAGCCCAAGCAGGTGTTTCTGCCAGTGAGCCTTTGGATTAATTAGACACGCACAGGTGTGCCTAATGAATGTGGGCTGGATGGCCCCCTGTCCTACTGAGAACAGCCGGGGAGGGAAGCCAAATTAGCATTTAAAGGCCCTGCTCTGATGTTTTTTGCTTCATTTCTGTGGTGTTTTTACTCCTGTTGAGGAGAGTATGTCCTGTCTTTATAAGGCCCTCTTAAGCCAAATGCAGATACCACCAAATGCAGAGCCTCACAGTTGTCTGACGACTGGGATTTCAACTTAAGCTGCTTTTGTCCTTTGTGGGTCTTAGAGGTGATGAGAGGTAAGGGAGCCAAGAAACTATAGCTAATTGTATTTCTTCTAGGTTCTGTCATTCCCAGGTGGATTTTTAAACATTCAGGATGTAGCAAAGATACACATATTGTAGAGCTGGTTTAGACATAAAATATTTTTTTTCTGGAAGGCTACACAGGAAACTGATTTTGGTGATTACTTTGAAGAAGAGAAATTGGGGGCAATTGGCACTCATACTTTTATTTTGTATCTTTCTGCATCATTTTGAAAATGTTAATCAAGATTATAAACCATTTTTAATATCACCTTTTTTTAGATATAATTTATATACAGTAAAATTCACCCATTTTAAGTATAAATTTTAAAGAGTTTTGACCAATGTATACACTCATATGTATAACCACCACTACCACAAACAAGATCTAGAACATTCCCAGTCACCCCCAAACTTTCCTTTGTGCTTCTTTTGGGATGATATCCCCATCCTCAGCCCCGGGCAGCCACTGATTGGATTTTCATATGGGACATTTTAATTAATCCTTTATTTTCTGTACTAAGAAGGAAAAAACAATCTAACTTTAAAAATAAATAAAATGTGCAGGGAGGTAGGCAAGGTTTGGCCCCTGCAAGGGGCCATAGAGCTAGGTAGAGGGATGAGTGTGTTTAGGAAATTGGTGTTTTTCTCTCACTTGAGGAATGAGGAGATTGAGAAGCCAGTAATCAGAGGAGGCTGTTTAAAAGGAAGTTAAACATTTTATTTTTAAAAAATAGAAAAAAGGGGAGTAAATATGCTGTGAGAGTATGGGTTATTTTTGTTCTTTTGTTTTGTCATGTGCTTATTTTTATTATAGGTAGAGTTAAACTTTTTAAATAGCTGTTTAATACCTACTTTCTATAAGGAAAGATCGACAGCAAATATTAGTAATAGAATAAGAGTTTAGAGTAAGCTGTGTGCAATCCCAGAAGTTAGAGAGTTTACCTTGAGCAGTGTCAACAGGCCTTAGTTACTATGTGGATGGAGAAATAACTTTGGTATCACTTTGTAGACCGTTTTCACTTAAATGTTAATTTAGACGTGAGCTAAATTAGGTAGATGCAGTAGTGCTGTTCTTACAAAAGTGGAAAGAATGAGAGGCTTGTTAACTGCTTCCATCTATTTTCTGACATCTACAGGTGATGTTAAGTTGGTGTAGAGCAAACCACAAGAAGGTGTAAATGAGGTTGGTAACTGGAAGCATCTTGTTTCACATGCTTGCCTGAGAGTCACCTGGGGCTCTTGTTAAACAAATTCTCAGGCCTTACCCCAGTTCCTGTCTTGTATGATTCCATTTATAGGAAATATGCAAAATAGGCAAATCAATAGAATTGGAAAGATTACTGGCTGCCTAGTTGTGGGGAAGGTAGAGAATGGGGGCTAATTGCTTATGAGTTCTAGGCTTCTTTTTGAGGTAATGAAAATTACCTGAAATTAGATATTAGTGATGGTTACATAACTTCACAAATATACTAAAAGCCACTTAATTTATGCTTTAAAAAGATGAATTTTATGGTACACGAATTACATCTCAGTAAGCCTGTTATTTTTAAAAAATAACTATTGCACAAGGTATTTTGATGATAAATGCCAAAAAGAAGAATTTCAGATGACGGTGTTATTATTTCTAAGTTGTGTGGTAGGTAGATTGAAGATGTATGGAAAAGATGTGTTTGAGTTGAGTGGCTTTTAAGAAAGATAATTTGGAGATGTGGTTATTTCCGAAAGGAAGAGTTCTGAGCCCCAGAATTTAGTATGAGACAAGTTCAGGAATGCAGGAATGTCTTTGGAGGGGAAGTTGTAGTTCAGCTTAGCAGTTATACAGGGCTCATGAAAAGATTCAGTCTAAGACATAATTGGAAGGGCAGGTTGGGCCCAGCTTTGGAGTCGGGGTGGGGGGCAGGGGGGACTTAAATGACAGCATAAAGAATTTCTGCAGTATTTGGTCAGCTCTAGGAGGTTGATAAAAAGTGACACTATCTCAGAGCTGTGTGTTAGAAAACTTAATCAACAGCAGAGTGTTGCATTAGATGGAAGGGAGAGAGTTCACCTGTGAAGGTGCCCGTTAAGTGTCTTTTGCCTTCTGTTTGAAAACAAGGCTTTCCTCTTTTAAAAGGCCTAAAACTAGAATTACTTTGATTGAGTTCCGGGCCTTCTGATGCCAACTCGATGAATTTGAAAGGCCTCACACACCGATGTTATTCTACTTCATTTCCTGGGAAAATGAATCACTGTTTCCTAGTGAAGAGCTGTCTGGGGTGCTAAACAATGGTGTTTGGGCCCTTGCTGGCCAACCCACTCACTTTGGCTCCTTTTTTTTCTATTGCGCACCACCTGTGGTTTTGTTTTTATTTTCTCTTTCCTTCCTTTCCTTTTTCTCTCTTCTTTTGCTCCTAACTGGGTCTTCTGTCTCCCTTTTCTTCAGCTTTTCCTCCCCATGTCCCTTTAGGAGATAATTTAGAGAAAATTATGATATTTCTTTGCTCAATAGAAAGAAAACTTGATATTGGCTATATGACAGAAAAGATAAAGAAGAAACCTTTTCATGAAGCATACATAGTGTCATTAACATATAGGTCACGTCAATAAACATTTTAGTGTAAAATATGCTACATATGATCAGATTGTCTTCTAGGTAAATTTTATATTAAATGAAAAAATTTTTCAAGATTGTAACTTCCAGATCTCATGAGGATCTCAACATTCCCATTTGTGACTTGCCACTAAAGTCTTCTCTGCCAGTTTGATGTCTTCCATTTTGGTGTCCTGAATAGCAAACTTAAGACCCTGCTTGTGCCTCACAAGTACTGCATTATAAAATGGTCAACATATTCCTGAGAGATAGGGAACTAAAAAATTGTCACATTGCAGAGGTTCATAATGAGACTACTTAACCTATCCCAACTATTTATCCTTTCTACCAAACCACATTTGATCTTGGATTACATTGATAAGGACATTTGAAAGATGACTGTAGACAGTTCCTTCAAGATTAGATTTTCCAGTATGTACATTTAATTAGACTGTTAACTGCAGTGTGGGCCTACAGATGGAGTTATCGAAACTCAGAAAGAAGCCTGTTTCTTTAAAGATTTTATCAGGCTTTGTTTTTGTTTGGCTGGGAGTGTTGGTAGGGTGGCTAAAGGCAGTGTGAGTGTGTAGGTTGGTTCTTTTGCTCTTTTCAAGTGAGACTGTTAAATTTGTGTTGAGACCTGATTTTGAAGACAAAGTGAAGGAGGGAGGAAGCTCAGGTTTGGTGTCAGGAGGGCTACTTTTGAATCTTAGCTCTGTCACTTTCTGTTTTCCTGAGCCAAGTTGCTTCTCTTTTCTGAGCTTGAGTTTTATCAACATAAAATGAGGTTGTTGGGAAGATCAAATTAACTCATGAGAAGACTCGTGTTGTCTGGCTTATTATAAATGCAGAGTATGGAGACTTTAGAAAGTGTGCCATTCATGTTTTTAGTAATAATAGTTTAATGATATATACAACAGTTTAAAATTCCTTTTTGTGTAAGTATAGTTCTAGAGGTATAATGTTATGAATAAATTACTTAAACCATCATTTGTGAAACTTGGTTATAGCTAATATTGGGTAAATGGAAATCAGTTGTAGTCTAGAAGTTTATGCTCAAGGTGGCACTGTTTCCCCATAAATTTGGTGATGTTTCACATTTTATCCCTGTTTCTAGTCAAGCAAATAACTGGATATATATTTAGGACTGTCTGCCTTCTGTAGTCTCCAGTCCTTCTTGCCTTGTGGAGCCCCACTCAATATTATATCCTAGAAATATACACATTTCCCATACTCACTGTAACTTATGTATGAGAGTGAGTCATAACTTAGTTGACCCATGATATTTTTAAAGACATTTATTAAAATGATATTTGAGATTTTAAAGCTTTCTTTTTGTATTTTGAAGTCAATTATGTTTTTAGGTCTCGAATATGTGAAAAGTTGAATTTCATTTTTGCTGGTAATCTGTGTCAAGACCACCATGTTAACTGTTTCTTGCTTCTTGTCTGAAACTACACATGAATTTCACAAGTGCCATCATTTCAGGAGTAATGTGAACTTTCTCATTTTGTTTGTTTTCAGATCCGAGGATTTCTTTCACGGTTTGATAATGTCCTTCCTGTCAGCCTGGCATTTGACAAATGTACCGCTTGTTCTTCCAAAGTAAGTCATTCTGCATTTAAAGGACTTGTATTTTAAAATGAGCTGGTCAGCAGTACCAGCCAGAGGCACTGAAAACAAATAAGGGCTTTTGCGGGGAGAGGTGGGATCCAAAAAGCCAGAAAAGACTTTGTATTCATTTATCTGAGAAAGTTTGATTTATAGTGCACAGAGACAGACTGAATTATGTTGTAGGTATGTATCAGTACTTGCATCATGATAATTTTGGCTTGAGCTTGAATTTTACTGGTCTTTATTCTTCCTCCAGAGGGTTCTTCCCTCTCATGGACCAGCATAGAGCAACTTTTAAGTATTACTCAGAGGATGGGGGATACCAGGCAGGTCCTAGTGGTGTGTCTTTTGGAGATATATATAATGACAAAGAAAGGTAAACAGAGATTCTAGACTTGGAGGGGGAGCCCATAAAAGGGCCCATTTAGCTTTGATCTTTCCAAAGGCTCTAAAAGTAGAGCTGTATGTCCTCCATTGTAATGGGAAAGGCTGATATGTCTCAAACCTACAGTGATGGCATCTCACTTTTCAATAGGCTTTCAGATAGACTGAGTTATATTTATATGCTTACAGTGTTATAGCTAATTTCCTTTTGGAGGCCTCTTTAAACTCTCTAACACTCGGTGATTTAACCTGGACTTTTAAAACTCATGATTCTTGATAAAACTTTCACCTTCAAGTGTTATGCGCAATAGTGTTGCAGTTAATCCCAAATTCTGACCTCTTAGTTACAATTTGGGACTTTGCTATGTAGCCTACATCTGACAGTATGGAAGGGATTGAATTCTAGGGAAATCCTCCCCACAGCTTTCTTTGAAAAACTTCGCTTGGGCCATATCTTATGAGAAGCACAATCCTGTCTAGTTTCTCAAAAAATGACAAACAATTTTAGGTGCTCAGAAATTTAGATTAATTTTTTTTCTTCAAAAGTAAACTAAAACCTTGCTTTATCATTATGCACCCCAAGTGTCCATGTTGAGATTTAAAGCTTGACATTCGTCAGTAGTTCTTTATTCACGAGCTTGTTCTTTCTGTAGTTTCCTTAAGATCTCTTATCTGCTCAAGTCAAGGCCTCAAGGATGTCTGTGTGTGCTTTTGTCTTCAGAAATGCAAGTTTTAGGATTATATGCTTTTTAGTGGAGCTCATTTTTTTTCTTCGAATGGCTGAGCTAATTGATCTCAAAATAAGTTGGCAGTAGTATTAATTTTCATATTGAAATCTGTTGGCACAGGTGCCAGTTTTTCTGTGGCTTTATGTAGATCTGGCTAGTCAATGGAATAAGGATAATTGGGTTCTCTAAGCGAAATGCAAACACTCATTCTTTTTGTTGTAGTTCTAATTAAATTAGCCCTTGAGATACTGTTTGTAAAAGAATCATAAGCATACCAGCTAACTGAGGTCCCTTATATTCTTTGAAAGAGAATAGCTTTACGTTTTTCTTTCACGCTTATTGTAAGCATCAAATAAAAAATAGGTATCACTTTTTAGTTAGCAAAATTATTTCCTCTTGGTGGTCATTCTGAGAGTCCTGCTTTACGTAAACATGCTGGACAATTTAATACAAACTGACTTGGATTTTAACAGCTGTGTTATTCCCATAGCGATCACTTTTCATGTGGTCTGGGTATTAAATTTCTTTTGTGTTGGAAAGGTTGCTTCATTGGTATACATATTTCCTTACAGTAGAAACACAGCATTTACTTACTTGGCTTACTTCTTTATTCGCTTAGGAGAATGTCATTCTCTATTATCTGCAAACCCAACATTAATACTTTGAAATGACAAATCTAATTAATTATATTTTCATTTCTGTGCATGTGAATTTTTCTTAATGCATACTTAGTATAATATTTTTTATTCTGAGTCATATCATAGTTATCGTTTCAAAAAGATTTGAGGGGGGCTAAAAAATGAGTTTAAAAACTCCTTTGACATCTATGAAGTAATTTTTTCCTTCAGTAGTTTAGAGTATTTTTGCTCTACCCTCCCCTTCCCCGCCTCCACACACCTTTTATAAGGCTGAGGTAGGGAAGAATACAGTTCTCAGCTTCTATGGCAGAGACAGCGGAATCATCTACGCATAAAGCATTTCTTGTCCTGTTTGATTTTAGCTTGGAATATAGCCAGGTGAATTGTTCCATCTTATAGAAAAATCATTGAAAAATCTGGAAGGAGAGGAATGTTGAGGAGTTACTTTCATTCCAATTTCTGTGGATTGCCTTGCAAGACGTTTTAAAATGACGGTATCTACCACTGGGATTTCAAAAAACCCTATTTGAAGCTACATGAGTTGTTTTTTAGTTCTAAAAAGGAATTTAGAGTCAACTAGAGTTTTGTGGAGTTACTACCAGAGGGAAAAGTATAATTTTAAAACCAATATTCTTGAGAGAATCTCTCATAATACATTGGTTCAGTTTGTTATTAGCCTTTCCCTTAAATGTTTTTTCAGAAGTTAGGGTATTTTTTGATAATTATCTATTTTGATATAATTGTAAACTTATAGAAAAGTTGCAAGAATAGTAAAAGGAATTTCTATATAGCCTTTAACCAGATTCACCAGTTGTCTACATTTTGCCCCATTTTTGTCTGCTGGCTCCCTTCCCTGCCTGCTTCCCACCCCTCACCCCGCTCAGCCCCCACCCTCGTTCTTTTTTTTTTCTTAAAACTTTGAGAGTAAATTGGAGACATTGTGATCATTTACAACTCAATACTTCAATGTATGTTTTCCAAGAACAAGGATGTTCTTTCTCTTAGGTGAACACAATACACTTACTTATCAAATTCAGGCAATTTAATGTTTGCACAATACTGTTATCTAATTCACAGTCTATATTTCAAATGTTATTTGTACAGTAATGTCTTTATAGGTTTTTTCCTCCCAGACCAGGATCTAATTCAGGATCAAGCAATTGCATGTAGTTGTCATGTCTCTTTGGCTTCCCTCAGTCTGGAAAAGTTCCTTAGCCTTTCTTAAACATTTTGATATTTTGCCAGTTATTTTGTAGAATTTGCCTCAATTTGGATTTGCCTAATGTTTCCTTATGATTAGATTGAGGTTACGAATTCTTGGCAGGAATACTAAAGAAGTGATGATGTATCCTCATGTCAGAAGGCACTTGATGTATTTTATCCCCTTTGGTGATGTTAATTTCCCCCTTTCCATATTTGTAACTACTCCAGCAGTGAGAAACCTGGCTCCCATTATCCTGAATTTATTTACTTACTTGCTCAAGTCTAGAATACACAGAAAGTAGTTTCAAAATTGCTGGCCCATACTACTGCAGAAAGTAAACATACTAACTAGAGTTTGATATTTGTGCATGGTTCTTTTTTTCTAGGTAAAATGTATACACAGTGAAATGTGTGAATCTTAAGAGAATTCTTTAAGTTTTGACAAATGTATCAACACCCATGTAACCTGCATTTCAGTCAAGGGACTGAACGTTTCCTTTACCCCAGGAAATTCTCTTGAATACCTTTCCAGTCAATCTTGGGGGAATGGGGCAGTATGTTGAATATTATGACTGTTCTTTTTCCCTATAAGGAGAAAGCTAGGCACCTTCTGGTGTTTTATGCAACAATTGCCTTGTTTCTGGAACCCAGAAGTTGACTAGAAACTTCTCTCAGTTCTGCAGTCAGGAGCAGGACTGTGCGTAAAGAAACTGTATGCATAGTATTCTTGCTTTTGTTGCACAATTCTGTCACCCACAACCTTTGTGATATTGCAGGAACAGCCTGTTATGAAGAAGCAAGCCTCAGACTTGGTTTGTATACTGTCTGGGACCTGTCTGCTGCACAGATGTAGCAAGATGTGCCCAGAAACCTGATCTGGAGATTTTAATTAGCGATTAGCAACCCTAATAATATACTCATTCTGGTGTTTACTATGCAATGGGCTCTTCTGTTGATGGGTTATGATTAAACTTCCCAAAGTGACTTATTAACTTTTTGTGTGCATCTGTGTATGTGTGTCTTGAGGACTGGTAGGGAGAAGGTGGTGTAGGAATCATATATGTTAGCTGGTATTGTCATATGGTAAGTTATAATTTTTGCCTTTGTCATAGCCAGCTTATCCATTTATCTTTGATGTTATATAATCCCACCTTTCTTCTATAATATTTCTTTGTAAATTAAAAAAGATAAATAATACCAGTATTAAACTCGGCTATTTAAACTTTTAAGAGAAACTTCTGTCCCAAAACAACCTGTTGCTTAAGAGTTCTGCAAATGCACCATTCAGAGGATAAAAAGACAAATCGTAGATTTGCAAGGAAAGGTTAAAGTCTTACTGTATATCTATTAGCAGACATTCATTTATTCAACTGACATTTGATTCCCTGCTGAATGCCAGAGATATAAGATGGTTAAAATAGCCATTGCCCTCAGGAAATACCATCTAGAAGGTAAGACAAATTTATAAACCAGTAATGATTTCTTTTATATTGTGATATGCTCTGCAGTCAAGCTACATCCTCTTGTTGTGTTATCCTAGTACCAATTTTATAAACAGGAAAGACCAGGGAAGGCCTTGCAGAGAGTGACTTCTGAGTTGCTGTTAAAGGATGAGTAGGAATTTCTAGAAACGCATGGGAAAGAGGACAAGAGGAAGGCATTCATTCTAGGCAGGGGGAATTGCATGTATAATACAGCCAGAGGCAAGAAAACATGGTGCAGTCATGAAGTTATTCAGTATAGCAGTTGTGACAGAGCCTGGGACACCTAATTCCCTGCAAATTATCTTCTTGGCTTTGTGAGTGCCATTTCAATTTCAACTGTTCTCGAGTTGGAATCTGGTGTACTTTGCCTAATACATGAGGCTGCTGTTTTGAATTTTACAATTACATATAAAACTCTTTCTCACCTAGCACCAAGCTTAGGGGGTTTCCTAGCCTAAGGAATAGGGCAGCTGCAACAGGGCGCTGTGGAGGCCAGGAAGTTGGTCTGGGGATTTCCAAGGTCCTGGCTCTACTCCCTTGCTGGCCGGCAGAGT